CAGCCCTCCCCACAGCCCAGCACTGAAGCCTTACGGCCCACTGTTGCTTCCTGGCCATCTCAGATGTGCAGGCTGATGAAAACTGGATGAGCAAGCGGTAGTTTTCCCAGCCTGGCTGTCAGCTGCTGCTGACACTTGTCCAGGACCCTGTGGTGCAAATCTGACCTCTGTTGCCACACCGCTGCCTCTGCCACTCCTTGCACAGAGCCCAGCCCGAGCTTTGAGCAGCCACCCCGACATCTAGGTGGCTGAGGGCTGTTGTAGAAAACCTCACGGCTGTGCAGATTCCTAAAAATCTACAGACAAAACGGCGCTTCTCCTTCAGTGGAGCCCACGTGCCTGCCCATCGGCCTCTGTCCCTGCACTCCTCCTAGCCCTGCACTGCTGCACATGCCCCTCCAGCCCCCAGCCTGCCTCCTCCTCTCCAGGAGCAATCAGGCCAGGTGGGCACTCTGTCTGCCTTCCTCGGGTCACGCCCCCACCACGGCTCCCTCCCACCTTTGCCTCTTGCTGCCCAGCGGCCTCCAGACACCACTCTGCTGAGGCCACTCCCACCGAGATCACTGGCCACTCCCCTCTTCGTGGCCAAAAGCCAGCAGACACGTGAAGTCTCTCCCGATCGCTTGGAAACAGTTGATACCAAGCACACCTTCCCCTTTGAAGCTCTCCCTGGTCAGACTCGAGGCCATGCCTCCTTCCCAGTCCTCCTCCGGCTCCGTCCTCCCTTCCTCCCCTTTTCTGCCGCAGTGGTCGCTGCCCCCCAGGGCCCACCTCCAAACCAGCACTGGAGCTTGCCGTCTCTTGTGATGGACTGTTTGGTTCCTTGACCCTCAGTGCTGCCTCAAGTAGTTGGGAATTATTTTTAAGAACGGATAAGAGACTCTTGAGAATGTCATGGGGAAACTAGCAACGGCCTTGCTGCTGGGCCAGCAGTCACCCAGACAGGGGTCTACCCCAGGACTGTCCTGCCCTCCCTATCACCGTGGTGCGGTTGATCTTTCCATCGCGGCCGCGCTTCGTTTCTCTCCTTCGTTGTCCCCTACCAGCTGCTCATTCAGACGGCTCTCTCGGCTTTTATTTGCTTCTCAGCTTCGTGTTCACCCCGATTTTTCGTCCCCGGTGTATTCATTCCTGTTACCTAAGCTTGGGGTCAAAGGTAAAGGCAGAGAGGGAGTGACCACAGAACCGGGCACTGCCAGGTCGTGAACTTGACTGTGAAGGCAGCAGGGCCGCGTGGGAGGGTTTGAGGCTGCAGACCACGGGGAGGGAGGGAACAAGGGGGGAGGGGTGGACATAGTCGGAAGGCTGTTGCAGCGGCCCAGCCAAGAGATGGTAACTCCTGAACTAGAGCTTTGGGGGTCGCAATGGGGAAAAGGAAAAGAAACTGGGTCTTACAGCGCAGGGACTGGGGATTGCCTCGGGACAGAATGAGATAGAAGGACCCCCCCTTCTTCCCTGAACCTCACGCTGGTACAGGCTGTACCTTTTCCTCCACCTGCCCCGCCTCAGTTTGCAAATCCTCGCTCCTCCACCTCCATGTAAAACCCATCTGGTCTTGAGGCTCTTAGCCTCCGCTGGCGCTGTTGGCCGGGCAGAGCGCCCAGGAGCCCATGCTCAGAAATCTAGCGGCGAGTCCCCATCCTGGCCTGTACCTCGCCTCCTTAACTATCAAAGGGGGAATAGTAGGGCTGCCTCCGAGGGCTCGGAGACTGTCTTACAGCCTTAGACTAGGAAGACGTGGAGAGCTTAGTCACCATTATTCAGCTTCTCACTGCTGCTCAGCCCTGTTAGCTACCAAAGCTCCGGACTGAGCACTCACTGGAGACATGGGTCTGTGGTTGAGAATCCCCGCTGCCACTTGGGGTGTCTTCACTCTTTCAGGGACCACGTTCACGCCGTGGCCTCCCCATTGCCTCACCTGCACGCAGCTTGGCCAGCCCGCTCTCCGGGAGTGGGTGGAGTGCAAACGGAGGAAAGGCTGGATGCTAGAAACACTGATAGTTAAAGGAATCTATCTGTAAGGGAACCAAGGGCGAGTAGGGGAGAACTCAGACTGCAGGCAGGAGAGTGTCTCCTAGCCAACATCGCCACAGTGACACGAGGATGGAAAAGGACCAAAGGGTCTACCGAGTAGGAGGTCACCGCCGCCCGGGAGATGCTCCCTCCATGGAACAAGGGCAGTGACCGACAGCTCCAACAGAGTTGTGAACAAGGACTGGAAGACAGGCATGAAACACACACACATATACACTCCACCCACCTACCCCCGGTACAGGGATTCCAGGTAAGCAGGGCTGCCTGGTATTAGCCTTTAGCTACCCGTGGTACCTGGTCGCTGCTCTTGAAACTGGCCTATCAGATTAATAGCATCTCTGTAGGTAGAAGGAGGTTTCACATACATCAGTTTTATTTGTGAGGTTTTTGCTTGAATCCTGGCCCTACCCCAAGTTTCCTTTCTGACCTGTACAATCTCATTTGATTACAATAAGGTTTTATTGCGTGCCTATTCTGTGACACACTCCTCCAGGCCCAGTAAACACAAGAAGGCCCCTGCCCTCAAAAGAAAGCACCGATGAGGCAGATGCCAGGATCCAGTCACTGAGGGCCGGTTCCCTCGGGCCCTGCACCAGGAGGGGCGATGGCAGGTGGCAGGACATACAGAAATGAGCTTGAGAGGAGCCTTTGAAGGGCTGGGCAGTTTAGAGGTAGTGAGGAGAGAGACCCTGCCCACCTCGATCTCTGAGGAATGTGGAGGATGAGGGAGAAAACAGTCCCCTCCTGAGAGTCTCTGGGGGCCTGTGCTTAGGGTTTGTCATCAGCACAAAAAGTTGAAGAGACTGTTCAGAAAATAAGAATATAAGGAATTTTGCTGATAACTGCCTGAACTTGAGCTTGGGCGGGGGCAGGTGGAAATTGAGAGATTGTAGAGCAGTTGGCTGGATTGGAGTAAGGGCTGGACAGAGCAGAGCGGGATTATGTGAGTCTTTGGAAGCAGTCAGTGCTGACAAACGCCAGAGAGCAGTGAGTACGGAGGAGGATGAAGGTGTTGGCTTTCATTCACTCAGTGCTTCCTCCACTCACCAGGGCCTTAGTCATCCACGCTTCCGGGTGAGAGCGGCGGGGATCGGGGATCGGAAAGGACCTGATCCTGGGTGAGGTTTTCCCCCAGGAAAGCCCTGGAAGGCAGTCTCTTCTTGAAATTTCCCTGTTAACGATGAGGTCAGCTAGCTGCCTGCTGCTCCTCGGCTCTGTGGCTCCTCTGATCTCCGTGGCAGGGTTTCATCAGTGCCCTCAAGCTGTGAGAGTGGATTGCATCAGGCCGGAGAGTGACTAGCCCGCTCCTGGCTGTTGTCTGGCCTCCAGCCAGGGCCAAATTTAGGTGATTCACCTTGCCTTCTCCCAGGGTACCACGGATCCGTGCGGTGCGGGACTAAGGGGGCTGACATCTGTGAAAACAAGGTTCTCCCCTCAGCCCTGGGGAGAGAGGTCGGTCGGCCTGCCTCCTCTGAAACACGCGAGAAGTGTGGATGTGTAGTTCCTCTGGGATCAGGAAGTGGGTAGATTACTGTCTCCAGTCTTGGTTAAGAGAAGGGGATGCACTGGGGATATTTCTGGAGGCGGGGGTGGGGGTGGAGGTGTCACTGTTATCTGTGGCACCACTGAGTGCAGGTGTCTGTCCCCCCACTTGTCACAGTCACAGAGCAGCCAGCTGGAAGAGAGCGCTGAGCCTTGGGAAGGTGTGCAGCCCAGGTCTGAGCTGGGGCCTTGTCCCCGCAACCACCTGGGCGGCCAGCCGGTCACCTCTCCTCCCTTCCCTTGCAGTCCTGGACTCACAACATTCAGCGAGAGAAAGAGTTTCTGCGGAAGCTGGTGAAAGCGCACGTCATCACCGACCTAACCAGTGGCATCTGAGGAGGGCCCCCGCACGTGGCCCCCAGGGACCGCCAGGAACAAGCAGCAGCCCCCGCCACCTGCCCGCTTCGCTGGCTGAGACGCACCGGAGCCTTCACACCCAGAGAAGGATAGTGCCAAGTGCCCCCTCCCCCCGCCCCCCACCCGGGAGTGGCAAGACCCTGGCAGGGCAGCCAGAGTACCTGCTGGAGGCCCGCCTCAGAGACAGCACTCACCCTCCCGCTCAGCCTCGGTCCTGGAAGCAGGGGGCTGGGAAGCAGCCTGCCAGGCCCCACAGGCCCAGCATGCAGGAGGTGACACAGGAGGCAGCAAGGTGGCTGCTGGGATCCTTTCTCTGATCAGTGTTTGGTGTATTCTCATTTGTGCATTGGGGGGGCGGGGGGAAATGGGGATAATTTATTTTTAAATAAGGTTGGAGATGTCTCATGTGGTCTACTTGTCATGCAGAAAGAGGCCCACTAGAGGGCCCAGCTGACAGCAACTACCCATCTGTGGGCTCCCTATAAAAGTGGGGGGGGGTGCCCTGACTGGCCTGCCCACTTCAAGGCTGCAGGGAGGTGGGCAGGATCCCATGCCAGCCCCCCTCTAACTCATGACATGGCTTGCCCTTTCTTGGGGAGAAGATGGGATATTCTCACTCACCAGCTCCAGTTCACTCCAGAGGGAAATCCTGGAGTCATCCCTCTGAGCCAACAAGAAGCCCTAGGCTAGAGCAGAGAACTTTAAAGCTTGGGAGAGGCCTAGCCCAGGGGAAGGGCTCCCCTCTCCATCTGCAGCTGATCCAGAGGACTGTGCCCCAGATCTGGACTGACCAACTTAGCTGCTCTGCTCTGGGTTTCAGCAAGGAGACTGCGGGGGGCCCTTCAGCCTGGACCAGAGGGAAGTAAGGCCCAAGGACCTCACCGAGACTGGCAGCAGCCATTCTCGGTTGCCACCATGGAAGCAATAAAGCTCTTCCCTGAACCTGGTGCCTCCTGCTCTCTCTGGCTTTCCTAGAAGAATCAACCCCGGACCTCAGCAACTGGGCTAAACCCAAGGGCCATCTCTCCAGGCCTTGCCACTTCTCCTCTCAACAGTAGGGCCTGGGGAGCCACCTAGGGGTCTCCAGGGTCTCTCCTACCCCACACAGCCCTGCATCCTCGGTGCCATAAGACAGACAAGACCGGCTGTGTTTGGGGTGGGGGGTGTCGGCCGGCGCCCCACAGTCTGCTTGGGGGCCTCATAGAAGAGCCAGAGATGGATTGGAGCCCGCAGCTCTAGGGCCATGCCTCTGGTCGCCACAGCTGCAGCTCAACACCGGCCTCCCCCCTCACACTTCTGGCTGGGCTTTGGGAAAGGCTAACCCATCTCCTGTCACATAGCCCCCTCTCTCAGCACAGAACAGCAAGGCACACAGCCTGTTCCAGGTGTCTCCTGGTGGGTGAACTGTAGAGAAAGTCCCCGCACCGCTCATTCAGAGCTGTGAAATCCCAACCCCCCAGAAAGCGGAAAACATGCCTGCGTTTTAGGCCACAGAGCACTTCCTGTCAGACATGGCATCCCGGCTGTGGCTGTGGGAGGCAGTCTAGCTGGCCAGCCTCTGCCCTGCCCTGGTCCATCCCGTGGTCCATGCAGCCCCAGGCCCGGCCACAAGTAAGCCCCAAGGGTAATGGTCCTGGCCATCTGAAGGAGCCCTGCAGCCTTCAGACCTCTAGTTGCTGTAGAAACCAAGCCCCCACCCCCACAGCTGAAGGGGAAAACCCCATCCTGGGGCTGGCTCCAGTGTGTGCTCTGTGGACTTCGACAGGGCCCAGGCTGCCAGCCCCGTTAGCAGCAGCTCTGGCCGGGAAAGCCCCAGGACAGCCACCTCGATGGTGACGCTTCTCACCCTGACCTGCCCCACGGGGCTCCTGTCAAACCTGGGGGCAGGCCACACCATGACCAGTTGGCCACCGCCCTTCTGCAGCCTGGCCTGGAGCCCCACCGCTGTACAGAAGCTGTGTTTCTTCACCGGCGCCACGCCAACATCACCTGCCCAGGTGTGGAGAAGGGCAGGGACTCGGGCTCACTCCCCACCCCCCCCCCACGAGATTCTAATTCAGATGTAGGGCGGGGCGGGACATGGGTGGGTCTAAAAGGTCCAGGGTGGTTCTGGTCCCCACACGCTCTGAACACTCCCCTCCCTACCCAGGCTTCCAATGATCAGCCCGCAATTCCCAGTTCCCCATCTCTCTCCAGCCCAGATTTTTTCTCCGCTTCACTCCGGGCCTCCAAAGGCGGCTACTTCCTGAACATTCATTCCCACCAGGATAACCCACAGTCCAACCCTGCACTCACTGCCTGCCCCTCCTCGGGAACCCCAGCCCGTGGAGTGTGCCCCCGTCCAGCTGGTGACCCAGGACAGGCTTGAGGGGGTCTTTCCTGCTCCCCCACCCCACCTAACTGAGCTCCCAGCCTGCCCTCTCCGCTGCTCCTCTGGCACGCCTGGCTTCACACCACCACCTCGCTAACATGCGTCTGGGCGCAACATTGGACTTAAAAACCCTCCCGTGGTCGCCGGTGCCCTCCGGGGAAACTCCGGACACCCGGGCGCTGGCCTTTCCACTCTTCCCCGTTACTTGCCCCACCTCCACCTGCCAGAGGGCGAGTATTTGGCCTCTGAAACGCCACCCTGCAGCTCCTGCTCGGCCTCGGCTCAGGTGTGCCTCCCTTCTCAGTGCCGGGCTCCCGCGGTGGGCAGCAGTGTTGGCATGCCAGTCCCTACCACCCGCCCGCCGCTGCAGCGCCA